AATTCTTTAAAAATCCTACAATGTGATTTTCTGGATTTTTTTTTCTCATTTTGTCTCTCATAGTTGAGGTATACCTATGATGAAAATTACAGGCCTCTCTCATCTTTTTAAGTGGGAGAACTTGCACAATTGGTGGCTGACTAAATACTTTTTTGCCCCACTGTATGTGGGGGCGTGTTCGAACGAGCCGTTTTAGGTAGGTGTGGCTAACTCTTAACTTTTATAAAGAATATCTCTTTGGATTTGAGACTTTAGTCTTTGCAACTTTACAGATCTTCTTTATGCACCAAGAGCTTGTAACACTCTAAAGAGAAAGGAAAAAATGAAATCGCATCATATGACCCCTTTAAAGCAAACATGTTAAAACTGCGAACTCAGTGTTCCAACAAGTGTTTTCCATGACACAGATGGTATTAGTCACTCAGTATGTAGTTTTAATAATGTTAAAAAGGTTTAATATTTATGAATTAGATTTTAAACATGTCCATTTCGTTGGGAGTGCAGTGCGCTTCTCGCTTCTCAATGGCTGTGATATTCGAGTGATTCTGTCGCGTCGCATATGGCGGTCGCATTGTCGTGTCGCGTCTAGTGTGGACAGCCAAATTGCTTGTAGCTGGAATCTTGTCGCGTCGCGTCTGGTTAGGACACGGTGTAAAGCTGGAACTATATTGGGATAGTGTCTAAATAATAAATAACCTATATATGCAGAATTGATACCACAGGGTTCTTGAGTTATGAAGAAAAAAAGAAAGAAAAAAAACACTTCTAACCTTGAGCCTCCTGACATTGACTAAATGCCTCACAAGTTCAGTTTGGACGTGCTTTGAAACTCGGGGTTCTTCTATCAATTAAGAGGTTCTCTTAAAACTTTTTTGGATCAGTGCTTGCCCTCTGTCAAAGTTTTGTCATTAGATGCAAATTGCATTTATGGCATGTTGCTTCAGCAAACTTCCATTAAAGAAATTAAAATATGTGTGTGCAACTTTATCGGAACCTAAATATCAAGTTATTTGGCTTAAGTATGACTTTTTGCCCTAGAAGTAAGTGGAGGACAGAGAGAGCGAGAGAGAAAGAGTTGAAGAGCCATTATATTGTTTAGCTCCCAACCCCACCACACACTACAGTGGTTGTTCACATCCTGATAAACGCCACTGAAGGCATGCAGTGCATCTGGCATCTTAGTTTTTGCACAGTCTAGCAATGGTGTTTTCCATGCTTTAAAAAAGGCTAGAACCCAGCATGCTCTGAACATGCAGTGGCTTGTGGGATGTTGAACTCTTGACCACAGGGCAGCCAGATGCATGCAGCTAATTAGAGGTTGTACTAATTGTTTGTGTATGTCAAGTAAAAAAAAGAGTTTACTTTTTACCTATGCTCTGTGTGCTCTCACTAATGTGTGCATCCATGGTAAACTACATTAAAGAGCACAATAAATAACTAGATAAAAAAGTTTGTCAAGACAAACTTTAGGTTGGCTTGAGAAAGCCTAGCCTGAAAGTTTAAAGCAGTTGTAAAAGCCTGAAGTTTAAAAATTTAGATAGATTAGATAGATGTTGATAACATGTTTCTAGCATGATTAGCATGTTTTAACATGATTGGCCTGTTACTAGCATTTTGCTAGCATGATCAGCATGTTGCTAGCATAATTAACAAGTAACTAGCATGTTGCTAGCATGTTGCAAGCATGATTAACATTTTGTTAGCATGACTAGTATGTTACTAGCATGTTGCTAGCATGACTAGCAAGTTACTAGCATGTCGTTAACATGTTTCTAGCATGATTAGCATGTTACTAGCATTTTGCTAGCAAGATTAGCAAGTGATTAGCATGTTGCAAGCATGACTAGCAAGTAACTAGCATGTTGTTAACATGATTAACAAGTTACTACCATGTCGCTAGCATGATTAGCAAGTTAATAGCATATTGCTAGCATGTTTCTAGCATGATTAACATGCTACTAGCATGTCGCTAACGTGATTAGCAAGTTACTAGCATGTCGCTAGCATGTTTCTAGCATGATTAACATTTTGTTAGCATGAATAATGTTACTAACATTTTGCTAGCATGACTTAACAAGTTACTAGCATGTTGTTAACATGTTTCTAGCATGATTAGCATGTTGCTAGCATGACTAGCGAGTAACTAACATGTCGTTAACATGATTAACAAGTTACTACCATGTCGCTAGCATGTTTAGCAAGTTAATAGCATATTGCTAGCATGTTTCTAGCATGATTAACATGCTACTAGCATGTCGCTAGCGTGATTAACAAAGTTACTAGCATGTCGTTAGCATGTTTCTAGCATGATTAGCATTTGTTACTAGTATGTTGCTAACATGATTAGCAAGTTACTGGCATGTTTCTAGCATGATTAGCATGCTACTAGCATGTCACTAGCATGATTAGCAAGTTACTAGCATGTCGCTAGCATGTTTCTAGCATGATTAGCATGTTGCTAGCATGATTAGCAAGTGACTAGAATGTCTAACAAGTGACTATCATGTCGCTAGCATGATTAGCAAGTTACTAGCATGTCGCTAGCATGTTTCTAACATGATAAACATGTTACTAGCATTTTGCTATCATGATTAGCATGCTACTAACATGTTGTTAACATTATTAGCAAGTGACTATCATGTTTGTAGCATGATTAACAAGTTACTAGCATGTCGCTATCATGTTTCTAGTATGATTAGCATGTTACTAGCATGTTGCTAGCATGATTTACCAGTTACTAGCATGTCACTAGCATGTTTCTAGCATTATTAGCATTTACTTTTACTTACTTTACTTTGTCATTTAGCAGACGCTTTTATCCAAAGCGACTTACAAATAAGAAAAAGTAATTAAAACTAAAAGCTAAAACTCTATAAATACTATATATACACACATTTAAGAAAATAAAAGAAATTAAATAAAAATGACAAATGCATACAACAACACTTCAAAACTAAAACATTTAAATTTAAATTTAGCATTTAAAATACGTTCGCGGTAAACAAAGCTTTTTTTTTATTCGTTTAACAAAACTCAAATTTAATTCAGCTGGACACACTTTCCTGTTTATCACAACAAATGGCCAAGCAAAGCGCACGACACTGACAAGGTACGCGATACAGTACGAGACCAAACGCGATTTCAGCACGTATCAGTAGTCTTGTTACTAGCATGTTTTTAACATGATTAGCAAGTGACTAGCATGTCGCTAGCATGATTAGCAAGTTACTAGCATGTCGCTAGCATGTTTCTAGCATGATTAGCATGTTGCTAGCATGATTAGCAAGTGACTACTAGCATGTTGATAGCATGATTAGCAAGTTACTAGCATGTCGTTAACATGTTTCTAACATGATTACCATATTGCTAGCATGATTAGCATGCTACTAATGCTCGATTAAAAGAGCTGATCGATAGGACATTAAAATACATTAAAGGGGTCATATGATGTTGCTAAAAAGAACATTATTTTGTGTATTTGGTGTAATGAAATGTGTTTATGCGGTTTAAGGAAAAGTTACGCTTTCTTTCTTTGCGTGAACATTTGGGCGGTGTTATGCAAATCTTCCCACATCGTGACGTAGACGTGTGGGGGCGTGTTAGAACCAGCCGTTTTAGGTAGGCATGGTTGACTCTTAACTTTTATAAAGAATATCTCTTTTGATTTGAGACTTTAGTCTTTGCAACTTTACCGATCTTCTTTATGCACCAAGAGCTTGTAACACTCCAAAGAGAAAGGAAAAATTGAAATCGTATCATATGACCCCTTTAAACCTATTAAAATTGAACAGTGGTTTGTGTTTAACGTAGAAGCACAATGACTGGATTTCTTATTCATTTTTCATGCTTTAAATTAAATTTAAAATATTGATGGATCTGTGCTGTTTAACTTTGAGGAAACAAATCAATACCACAATGGTTTTAATGATCTGTGGGCACAACGGGTTTGCTGTTTTTATGAGTTTTCTACAACAGAAAGCCTGTTTAAGGAGACAGACCTTTGAATGAACTTTGGAGTTAGAAAGCTCCACTTGACCTCTGACCTTTCTGCATTTCTCAAGTTACAGTCTATATTTCTAATCTCTGCAGTATATAATAAATACACATGAATCTACACAAACAAGTTTCTTGAAGTAACTCACAGAAAAGTGGTGAGCATAGAAACTGCATATTTAGCATTTCATAAAGCTGAACCGAGTTACTATCAAGGACAGTTTACACTACACCACAATTTTAAATGTTTAAAATCAAAGGCATTATGAAAAGCATAACCCTTATAGACTGCTATGAACAAGATTTCTCACAACACTTTGAAGAAGGAGGATTCTAGTCACTGTTTACTCTATCCCAAACAGCTGTAATGGCAAAAGTATCTGGCAGATTACCTGTGAGGATGAGTCAAGCATTGCCAGGGAATGTTATTGGCCTAACTGTGGCGTGAGCTCAGGACTTCAGGCACGGCTGGTATGCCGTGAATCAGGGAAGAGCATCCTCCTCCCTAGGCAGAACTTTGAAAAGGAGCATGTTGAGGAGCACAGGGGCAGTACAGAGGAAAGAAACATTAGTTAATCAAAACTAATCTCATAGAAGTGATAAGAGACTTTTCATGGATACATTATAAATATTAAATTAGCTGCTATTCATATTTTGAAGTTTTGTTGCTTGGTTTGCTTGATTTAAAACCTAATCATAACATATTGACACAATATTTAGTTTGCATATTATTTGTTTATCTTAAAGCCTGTGTAGGTTCACTCCGCAGTAATTCAAGTACAAGCATAATTTGATCATGACCGCCTGATGTTTAAAAGACGTAATTTTTATTGCATTAAAATTCTAGATGTATTTTAGGTGAGTTGTTTGCCTCATGGTAAAAATAGAGAGTAGGAGGGGTGGATGGGGAGAAAGTGGTGCCTGCCTCCTCTACAACTCCCAACTATTAGTGACGTTAACACGAGATAGAGAGGACTAGCAGGACAGAAGCATTTTGTACAAAACATCTGCTCACACACTTAACTTGAACTGACAAAATGGCTACACTATCTTGACTGATTGCTAAAGTGTCGTAACATATCTCAACCCTGGGGAAAAGACCAACATATGTAGTGTTTTGGATGATGGTTTCTAGCATGGGATGTTGGAAGCCCCATCAGGCTTTAGCTTAACCAGAAAGAGTTTCTTGGTCAATGAGCTTCACACACACAATTTACCAGTCAGCTATGCTTGGTTGATTTAACTAATCAAAATTTGGCAACACATTCACAAAATGCCTGCACCTTCATCTCAGAGGGTGTTCTAGTCTTGATCTGACACAGCATATATATCATCTCACATATACACACCCATACTGTATATACTGTACACCAACCAAATATTCAAGTCATGCAGGTCACATATGTAACAATAGCAACCCTGCTGGTTGCCACACACACATGCATGCACATGTGCACATGCAACATCATCATAAATAAGTGCTGCGTGTGCTCTTGAATTGCAAGATCCCCCACATGTCGTTCTGGAATGCTTAACTCAGAACAATGATATAATTGAATCTGGGTTCACTCTCCTTGCTTATCTTGAAATCTGACAGTTCAATGCTGACCTCCAATTACATCTTGTCATCTCATAATGGACTGCCATTCTTAATCAGTGCTATAAAGATTAAAAATAGCTCAATTCAGCACTTTTGAGCTTTTAAGCAAGTGTAAGATTTAGATTTGGCAAATGATGCAAATTCAAGAATTTATCTGTATTATACACTGAACCAAAAAAGTATTTGAAATTTTTTTGTTGTTGAAAAAGCACTGCTAAAAATGTCTGAATGTCATTGCATTTTAGAAATATCAAACCATGTGGCATTTATGATCAAGAGTGATTTTTAAACAAAACATTTCACAAAAACAAAATTTGTTGTTTTATATGAGAAAAGCAATAAAACAAGATTTACTGTTCAGTATAGTCTATATTTGTACATTTTCTGGTTCTCAGATGTTAGTGGAACATATTCATCATAGTAATGGTTATTCTGCTAAACACCCAAACATCTATTTTAGTCCAGTCGCGTCTAAAAACTGAGACATTACAAACAAAGTAATCAATATTAAAGAAAGTTCAGTTTAAAAATAACAAACAAAATCAAATTAATTTAAATAAAAGAAAATTAATTTAATAGAAGTAAATTAAAACTTAAAAGTCAAAGTCATTGGAGTGCCAAGGAGCCAGGCAGTCTCTTGTTTCTGCAACCACAACAGAAGAAACAGGAAGGGGACTTCTGTTTCCCAAACAGGATGTTCAAAGCAACACAGTGTGTGACTTCACATGTCTCCAGCCCACAGAGTGCAGTAATTAGTTCCTGTTGCATGTTTTTCTAATCATCAGAGCTTTTTTGGACCCAGTATGTACAGTATATAGACACCACAGCAACTGTGAATGCCATAGCATATTGAATTGCAGTCAGAAGCATGTACAGTAGTAAAAGAACAGATTATAGATTGAATCTTAAAGGAGTGCAGGAAGAATATGTTGAATATGATGAACATGATCTTGCTCTGCACTCTATCGAAACTTCACAGGCATATATGACATTGATATGTGGGTGCATGTGCATACTAAACCCTAAATGTGATTAAGCCATGTCAGGATATATCTACAACATGGCTTTCAAGGAGATTGGATCATGCAGATGCATGAGCCTATTGGATGAATATCAGCCAAATAACTGTGCTTCATCATCAGTATCATCATCATGATTCAGAAAGGGCATCCACCTTCAACTTCATTACATGAGGCAATAATAATGTAGTATATAAATTTTTTTTATTTGTATGCTAATGTGGAAGAAATACTGAAAGATTGACATGCTTTACATGTCGTTTGTTTACTTGATTTCAGATCTACTTGTGTCACAATGTATTTTACTTATAATTATTTTGCTTAATTGTACAATTAATACATTCAGTAAAAAGGCTAAAAGCTACTGTTAGTTTCTTTAATGAAGTTTTTAATTGTACAAATGGCAAGTGCATCGGGCTTAATGGTTTGAAACTAAACAGCAAGCTATTTATTGGACCTAATGGCTTGAATATAATTTAAATTGTGAAGCTAATGGCTTGAATATTATTTAAACGGAATCAACTATCAGTCGATTAAAGAGAAAGGCATTTGTTTGCTTTAAGTGCTGCAAGGACAGCCAGTCTTCTCTTGTCCTCCAAACAACCTGTCCTTTATGGTGTGAGACCCACCATACATCTCTCCATGTGGCCACAGGGGCATTGACATTCATGACAGGAATAAACCTCAATTGTACAATCTACTCCTCTGATTGCTTTAACCCAGGGTTGGGCTACCGACTGCGAGCACAGCTGGGCCTGCGAGTTATATTGGATTAACTGCAACTTTTTTGCTGTATTGCCCCAGCAGTGCTTTATGAGCCATGTTCCGGCACTTGCACAGCTGATTTTATTGCCCATTGTGTGAGAGTGGATGAGAGTTGATTGCTGGGAAAACAGGGATGTCAGGATCTTCCTAACTGGTGCATGTCTGCATTTGCAAAATGAAATACTGCAGGGTTCACAAACAATAGATAGCTGAAGCTGACAGATGACTATTGAGTTTAGAAACTGAAAGGTAATTTAATGATCCAAATATCCTCCCCACTCCAAACCATATTTTAATTTGGCATCAAATTGCAGGCCCAAGGATGTCTCATCAGTGCAGAGGATATATAATTAATATTAATTTTGCTTATATATATTTAATGCTGCTTACTAAACAAAACATGTTATTTTTATTGCTAATATTCAAGTATGAGCAATAATTAGGGGTGCACCCATTGATCGGCTACCGATCACTAATGGCCGATAATCGCTTTGGGAAGTTTGATCGGAGGTCTCTATAAAGGCGATCCCATTAACTGATCTCAAACTGCCGTGTCTGCCGTGAGAGGTTTGGCATGACATGCAGCAGCACCTTCTCAATCTCTGTCTGGCGCGGATTAAATAACTATAATGCTGAAGCGGTGAGGTACAATTCATATTTCTTTATTAAATAACTTACAAAGTAATTTGAAAACTTTCTGTGAGACGTAATTTCACAAACTCTCTCTCTTTACCTCTCATCTGCACTATAAACAAGCTGCAAGCTGCACAGCTGAGACAGGATTTGTCACTTGCACAATCGAGGCACAGTCGCATCGTCACTAAAGTTTAGAATTTGCATTTCTTTTTAAATCTTGCCAGTGTTTAAACCATCTAGCACTCGCAGCACTCTCCTAGAGACAGTGCGCTCATGCACACTCAAAGCTGCACACATAAGGCCGCCTCACATACAGTTCACAAAATCAGGCTTGTGCTGTGTGTAAACTATTGTGCAGCAATTGCCCCATTGTAAAAACAAAAATGCACTGCATTATCAAACATTAAGGTGAGATAATTATATATATTTTTAAAAATGTCAAAAAAATTTAATTTAGGCCCTGAATAAATGTCTGTAAAAATCCTGATTGGAGCATCACTACAAATAATTTAACATGATAAAAAGAAGGCTTCAAAAAGATCGGTATCGGTGATCATATCGGCAGATACGTTACATTGATACACCAGTAGGTGATGCCAAGTGTTTTTATGAGTGAGTCACTGAGTAATTTCTTCAACTCATTCTTTGAAGTACACTGATTCAACCAGAAATGAAATAAGTGAGTGAGTCAATGAATCATTCACGCAAGCGATTCATTCAAACACGCTGGGTCATTCAGGAACACTGGAATTGCTCTGAGACGTGCAGCTGTTAACTACTTTGACTACGTTTGAAACTATTTTTAACAAAGTGAATGGAAATAGTGTTTAAATATAATTTTCTCATTATTTACTTTTTGTTTATTGAACTGTTGTATAGGAGCAATATTATATGCCGTCATATTGCTAGTCTGAATCTGTGTCCCTGTCATGATGAGGCACTAAGGTATAATTAGTTGGTATGATTTGTGTAGTGGATTCTTTTGTTGGCAGGAGTAACCCTTGACAAAGCACTTCTCTCAGGCAAGGTGACAGGGTCTTCTGCTATACCTGGAGCCCATACAGTCTATAAATATGCACTCTTTCTATCTCTCTCTCTCTCACACACACACACACACAGTCACATACTAATAAATGTAATGGCCTCCTCTCTGGGTGATCTTTTAAATGATTGGACATATCTTGTCAAGATTTGAAAAACACTCTGCTGCCTCATCCAACTTATTTAAAGGGGTCATATGATGCGATTTCAAGTTTTCCTTTCTCTTTGGAGTGTTACAAGCTGATTGTGCATAGATAAGATCCCTGAAGTTGCAAAGACTAAAGTCTCAAAACCAAAGAGATATTCTTTATCAAAGTTAAGACTCTGCCACGCCCATGCAAAATATTGTATGCCAGGAGTCAGTACGACTAAGCTGTGCCCAGGTCTCCGGAACCTGCGACAACGCTCAGCTCCATCAGCGCCTCCTGAGCCACCACATCTGTCTCCATCGGTCGACCCCCAGATGTTGGCAGCCACACCATCTACATCTTGGCTCCTCGCTCCCTCGATTCCGCCGTGTGTTGTCAGCACTGGGATGCTCTGGGTCTGTGCCATGTGCCAAACACCATCTAAGCTGCCAGGGCATCATCGTCAAAAAGCACAATTTAAATATATTTATTTTTCACCTGGGTGCCCACACATATTATGTCTTTTAGAAGAGAAACGTCTGGTGATGTGACCAATCATACTCAGAGTTTTTGAAGGAGACGGGGAGTAGAAATGCTGCCCGTTCATAAATAAGCTATTAAACTAAGGGGAGCTGGATCATATAGTAATTAAAGCCTACACCAACACCATAAATCCATAGTGTGGTTTCACAGTCAGTTAGAGGGAGGATTTTTGCGGACCCCCAGGGTTCACTGAGAAAGAATCATGTGCAGACAGAATGTTGCAACCCCTGTGATGTTTTTTAGCTTCCAGTATGAGCTGTCAAATCTGAGGGCAGATGATTCTGTACAATTTGTTTTATTTGTGTCTGAAGGCAAGACTCATAAATGACTCAAATGTCATGTGTCAGATAACTCATCATGCTATATAAGGAAAGAACCTGCTGTGGTTTGGACCAGTGGGACATGAGCCAAAATTTATCACCAGTCTATGTATCTAAAAATGTTATTTGTTTCTATTTGAAACAGTATTCAGTAATTCACAATATTAATGCAAACAATGCTTCACTTTTCTTCTAGCCTTCCATACGGAGGGATTTTTGGGGCAACATTTGGATAAATTTCCATCATGAAGCACATGTCCATCTCGAAATGGCTAAGTCAGTTGGGGCTACCTCAGTACTGCACGCTATTCAATGAAGAATATGATGGAGTGGAGGTAAAGTCAGCACACACTGTGAGTTTAGACACACATGCACATACTTATACTTAGGGGAAGTCGTGGCCTAATGGTTAGAGAGTCGGACTCGTAACCCAAAGGTTGCGGGTTCGAGTGTCGTACCGGCAGGGATTGTAGGTGGGGGGAGGGAATGTACAGCACTCTCTCCTACCTTCAATACCACGACTGAGGTGCCCTTGAGCAAGGCACTGAACCCCCAACTGCTCCCTGGGCGCCGCAGCAAAATGGCTGCCCACTGCTCCGGGAGTGTGTTCACGGTGTGTGTTCACTGCTGTGTGTGTGCACTTTGGATGGGATAAATGCAGAGCACAAATTCCGAGTATGGGTCACCATACTTGGCCACATGTCACATCACTCACTCACTCACTCACTCACAAATAACATTTATAGGAGCTGTATAAGTCACTGTCTTCCACACAATTACCCACTTTACAATATAACCAGCTTCCCATCTTTTGCAAGAACAGAAATACCTGGAAAAAAGACACTCAACTGCCAAGAAAGAACAAAACAGTGGATCAGAAACAACAGCAGTGTTGACTCTGAGATGACTACATGACCATTATAGGCTCACTGATTACACTGTGTAATGCACATTAATGCTGAATCGTATTTCAGTGATTCCACTAATGGAGTGCAGGATAAACACTGGATGAAGAACAGCACCAAATAAAACAGCTATTAAGTATCCATTAGCACTTAAACCATTGATATATAACTGATATATGACTGATAATTGATTTGAGTGACTAATCTGTTTGAGTTACACACAAAAACACTTACATGTACATAGCGTCCATAAATTCAGTTTTAAATTTCAATTGCATCCTGTTTATTAAAATTCAGGAATTTAAGTAGAATTTCAAAAGCATTATCAGTTAAATTCTGAGTGCACAAACCTGCATTTAGTACCACCATCATTATCATATCAAAGTACCATAGTTTTGTCATCTGATACCATCACTGTACCATGGAATTTTTTTATAAGGGCAACTAGCCCACTCAAGGTGAGGCATCTGAATAGCTGCTTAGTGACATGTTTTTGAAGTCTCAGCATGAGAGATTGATATGAGACCACACATGGTAAATAAAGAGTTTGAAGGTGCAGAGACTTTGTCATGGCTTGTTGGATTCAGCTGTGTGTTGAAGGCAGATGAACAATGGGCCCTTACCAGCATATGTTATCCCCTCGTTTTCCATCTCTTCGCCCCTTTCTCTCTCCCACACTCTGGCTTTATGTCTTTCACTGACTTTCTTTGTGTCTGCCATTCTGTCCGTCCCTGTCCACCACCCTCTCTCTCTTTCCCCAAACTAGCCTGTAAAAACAGAGACATGGCAGTTGGAAAGAGTGCTTGCTGCTGATGTTGGAGATTCTGGGTAGAATCCATTCGATGAGATCATTGGAGCAGATGAGATAAAACACACAAAATGTTTTCTGTTTCTACAAAGTTAGATCAACACAGCTTCGCCTCGCTGCACCAATTCAGTACAACAGATTTCACACGGATCCTCATAGCTACGCTTAATGAATGACTTGGTAAAGACCTTTGAATAATGAGAATGAACAGCACTAAGATTACCAGGACATGATTATAAAAAATTGCTTATAAAATGTATTTGCTCTTTTGCCTTAATTAAAAATAAAATACTAAAACTTTTAATTGGTCATTTTAAATGCTATAAGTAAATTCAGTCATCACAACATTATGATTTGCAGCTTTCCATGAAAGTGGATATTAATTTTGAGATCTTCTAAAAATAACATTTACCGATGTAAAAACAGAGAAGTTGTAAATAAAACAAATTATTTGAGAAAAATGTACAAGTAAAAAAAAACAACCTTATTTTAAAGATTTCCGTCTTTCTACTTCAAAATTTCATGTTTAATTAAATGTTACATGCTTTTTCTTTGTAATAAATTGTGAAATTTACTAGCAATTTCTGAGTACACAATTTTTTTTTCTGTGTATCAATATATTTGGCATTTTCATGAAAGGATACATTCTAATATATGCAATCCACAGACACAGCTAGACACAAACAAATTCAAATCTTGCATATTTAGGATGGATAGTATGCAAACTGGAATGCAGCCACAAAAATCTGAGCAGACCAATTTTATTTGCATTGACAAAATATGGGCAGTCCCAAATAACCCATTATGCTGTGATAGTGCATGCTTGTTACTGTTTATTTAGGAAGGAATGCTTTGGCATGTGCACTGTAAATACTAAATAGCAGAAAATAGCACACAGCCTTCAATTAAACGGTTCTTGTTTTGTCATGCCGGGAACAATGAAAGCAGAGATGCCATCTAAAACATAGCCGTGCGTTTTTGTTGTGTCAGAAGCAGAAGGAATGTATTGTTTTGAAAGCCACACAAGGCTGGACTTTGAGGAGTGGCGAGGCACGGGCCATAATGACACACTGCTAGCTTAAACCGTATTCTGATGTTTGTTTTTGTGTGTAAATGATAGATGGCCATTAGTTCTAGCCCTTGTCATTCTCACCACATGTTTAAACTACTTCGTCTCTTTGTTTTTGTCTCTCTTTAGGACATGTTACACCTTACAGAGATGGATCTGTTGGGTTTGGGGGTCCAAAGTCGTCTCCATCGCATCCACATTCTCGCCAGTATCCAAGTGCTGCGAGAGAGTGAAACAAAAAGAGGTTAGTCTCGGTCTTTTCCCACTGAGGTACACTACCATTTAAAAGTCTGGGGTTGGTAAGATTTTTCAATGTTTTTGAAAGAAGTATCTTATGCTCACCAAGGCTGGATTTATTTGATAAAAAAATACAGTAAAAACAGTAATATTGTGCAAACGTATAAGAATTTTAAATAACTGTTTTCTATTTAAATGTATTTTCAATGTAGTTTATTCCTGTGATGGCAAAGCTGAATTTTCAGAAGCCATTACTCCAGTCTTAGGTGTCACATGATCTATCAGAAATCTAATCTAATCTAATAAATAAATAAAATCTTATTAACTTAAAACTTTTGAACGGTATGTAGGCACAAGCTTTACTTGTATGTCTGTTGCCTACATAGACAATTGCTGCCTGGGGTGACAACTGACTTGCCTTCTGCTACTTTTATGGGATTTTTAAAATACAAAAGGTGTAACAGAATCATTAAACTCAGCAATTAAAGTATCTCTCTCCATGCACACACCGCCTCATAAACCACAGTGGTGAAAACAGAAGCAGGAGCTTATCTCTTTGTGGATGTTTTCTCTAGTTAGGCTGAGTCTGCTGTTCTGTAGCCCTGCTTGTACTGGACAGCCTGTGACTGTGTCTGTCCAATGCATAGAGCCCGACACTGAAGAGCTTCATTAATCACAGCAAGGCTATACGTAGGGTGGGAGAGTGGTCAGCACAAGGCTGCAGGCACAATACGCTCAGGGACACATGCATATGGGGTCAAATCAACAGGGGGTTATTTCACAAAACTAAGCATTGGAGTGTGGGACGGATCTCCCTGTGGAGTATTGTGTGTGTGTGTGTAATGGTAGTGTCTATATATAAGCGATGCCAGCTCAGCTTGGTGAAGAAGTTTTAAACTGTGACAAACATAATTATGCTATCCTCAAGATCTTCAAGGAGTCATCTCAAAGCCTTGAAAGTGATATGCATCTAATCAGCGTGCCGAAATTATGGAGATAATAGCTCATCCTAGAACACTCAGAAACATAAGAAGCATTTACTGTCAGTACTGATAGTGAGTCATGAATGGACTTGCTTCCATACACTCATACACAAAGACATCTTTGCCAAGACAGTTGCCATGTCTGCTTATTTTAGCATGGACTTGAAAAACTAAACTAATCATTATCCTTACAGTTTAAACATTGCTTTACTAACATTAATTGTATCATTTAATTTATTCAGTGAACACGAGTTGGATTACATATTATACTATAACTAGACAATAATTAGCACAAGTTGGATTACATATTATACTATAACTAGACAATAATTAGCACAAGTACATTCATTGCAAACATCTTTTTCCTTGCCAGAGTCGCTTATGCGGGACTTTATTCATTAAGTCACAATTTTTGTAAAGCTACTTTGAAACAACATACTTCTTTGGCCTTGTCATAATAAAGTTAAATAAATAAATAAAAAATTAAACAAATAAATATGGTCAGTTGCGGGTTGTGTTCTTATGGGATTTATTTACAAAATACAGTCACGTATTTGGGGTTGATAGCGCTTGCCACACATAGTACAATAAAGTATGTCCGAACACCATCATGAAAAAAAATGTCCATTTGCTATTCGAGCCACACTTTACGTTGTATCATTAATTTCCATAGTTTACAAGAAAAAAAAGGCTTTTGCCCATCTGATCTAGATGGCCAGTTGTATTCATAAAATTCATTATTTTTCAAATTCATTATTCATTATTAATCAAAATTAATTATTTAAAAAAATTGTGTTAAGATACAAAAGAATAATTTAACAAGTTTGTTCTATAATAAATAAAATCAATGAAAGAAGCAATTCTCCTTAATCTATTACCACCAGCCACCCACCACCAAGAGCACAAAAAACTGACTTGTTGCTTATTTTAGTGAGGCAGGTCCCTTTTTCTAGGCTTGTTTTTTTTTTTTTTAGCAAAATCTGGCAACACTCCCACCCCTACCCTTCAGTCAAACAGACACACAGACACGTGTCTATGTAGAGGAGGAACAGACACACGCTGCTGTGTGCAGGAGCTGCCAGGTGATTATAAACTCTTTTGCCCATCCCACAATCCCGGCAGTCAGTCAGTATTGCGTGGGGGCACCTCTCCATTGCGTGTAATTAAGTCCTTAAAAAGCATGTCAAGACACACACACATACAAACAGTGGGCTGACAGGCCGAGGCTCGTTTCCCAGGCATAACATACTGCCTCAACTCCATTGCTATAGAGACTCTGACACTTTACAAAATGGGCTGTTGAATTGGATGTCTTGGATCAGCGACTTTGCGATTAAATTTGGCCTTTATGTTTTGTAACCAGTAGGAATAGTCCTGAACAGCTTTTTTGAACAAATGCAAGGGTTATTTAATATTACAAAACAAGCAGTCTGTAACACAAACTTACAAAGGGTTACAGCATAAGCAAAAGCTTTAAGTAATCTGAAAACTTAGTATCCTGTCAGTGGTTAAAAGACATCTGGTCTCTACTGACATGGTCCCGTACTTGAGGACAATAACTATTGTTTTCCTGAAATGGTTTGGCTGTTTGAGGACTCAATAGGTGGTCTGATTAAACCGGGTTCGACACCTTTAACAGCCCATTCTAAAACCTCTCCATTCAACTCCTGTAGTCCTCACATCCTGTGAGAAATGCAAATGTTAAACATTCAGTTTCATAGACCACCTTCCTCAGAGCAAAGAGGGTTAAATCTCCACTGCTGCAGCCCTGTGAAAAAAATCTTGTTCATCTCATGAGAAGACAGCAAGCAATATTATTGTAACAGCTGTGTTTTCAAAACTTATACTACATACAAATACGTGTATATATATATATATATATATATATATATTTATTAAAACAGTACTATTTCCCATAACAACCAATTAAATATTTTTTCTTACTCTTTTACTGGTATTGTTTGAAATCAATCTCCCAAAAAGTTATTTAGTTACTCATCCTAATGTTGTTCCAAACCTGTATCATGTTGAACACAAAAAGATGTGTAGCAGAAAAGACAAACAAGACAAAAAAAACAACACACAAGTGGTTTGTGCAACTTCTAAAGCCATATGATTTTCTTGCATATGGACTATTTTATGGTACATTTATGAATTATACTTTTTTGGAGCTTGACAATCACTGCTTCTGTTGTTTGAGAAAGAATGACTGTATATTCTGCAAAACATCTCTTTTGTGTTTCCTTGAAGAAAGAGAAACATACAGGTTTGACATGACTTGAAAGTCAGTAAATTATGATTTCCCCCACCCCTTTTTTTCAGTAGTCATTTGGCTTCAGGCACTACTTTATTTTATTTGGTGCCTTTTGAGTAGTTGAAAAGTGTGTGTAAATGCGTAAACACAATACTCACGTGTATTTGCAGCACAGCATTGCAGTGATGTTCAATGATGACAGGCTGCTCTTTAAGAAGGGTTGGAGTATGCTATTAAATGAAGCATGCTATTAAATGGGTGGTTGGCTCACTGCCTTCCCTGCTCTCAGTGCAGATTGCAGATTCGTTCAAAGGGATGCCACCATACAGTATATAAAATTCCATACTTAAGCAATTC